GCAGGTGGGCTGGGATGTTCCAGGGGCTGGCTGAGGTGCAGCGTTGCTGCTGGGAAAGCAGGCTCTGTTTGATCTTAGTTCCTCTGAGACCTGACAGATTTGTAAGCCATAGCCTTTAGCTTCTGCTTTGATTCTGAGTGCGGAGTGCTGGAACGAGATTTTGTTCTCAAACGGAGAGAAAGGAGCGAGAATGAAAAGTGCGTGTAAGGAGGCAGAGGGAAAACCAAGGCCAAGTGTAATTCCAGCCAGTGGGAAGGATACAAGAAAACTTAAGGAGCTACTAATAAAGCTTTTTATTTTTCTTAAATAAAAATAATTTAAAAATTACATAGGCCATGGTAGCCTGGGGGTGAGATAGTGGGGCTTCTCAGATGCAGCTCTTTTCAGTCTTTGATAACATATGGCAGTTTTGATGACCCTAAATCACTGGAATGCAAACCTCAAGACAGCACATCGAGGGTAGCTGCAGCGTTTTGGGTGATGGGGAGGAGAGGAGCCTTCCTGTTAAGGTAAGCTGTTTTGACATAGAGGGAGGCTTGGAGCTTGCACTCTGTCCTCCAACTTGAAAGCCCTGTGGAGATAAATGGGTTGCTGTCTTGGAAAGATGCTGGGGAAATCTGTCCCTTCATGCCAAGTGGAATATGGTACCTCAGGATTCCTTCGTTGCTTAAATTTGGACTTTTTAAAATCCCTCAGCCCTGATCAAAAGAATCATGGCCAGCAGGTCAAGGGAGGTGATTCTGCCCCTCTACTCTGCTCTCGTGAGACCCCACCTGGAATACTGCGTTCAGCTCTGGAGTCCTCAAGACAAAAAGGGACATGGAGCTGCTGGAGTGGGTCCAGAGGAGGCCACAAAGATGATCCGAGGGCTGGAGCACCTCTGCTATGAAGACAGGCTGAGAGAGTTGGGGCTGTTCAGCCTGGAGAAGAGAAGGCTCCGGGGTGATCTCGTTGCAGCTTTCCAGTACTTAAAGGGGCCTACAGGAAAGCTGGAGAGGGGCTTTTTACAAGGGCATGTAGTGATAGGACAAGGGGCAATGGATTTAAATTGAAAGAGGGGAGATTTAGATTGGATATAAGGAAGAAATTTTTCACTGTGAGAGTGGTGAGGCACTGGAACAGGTTGCCCAGAGAAGTTGTAGATGCCCCATCCCTGGAAGTGTTCAGGGCCAGGTTGGATGAGGCTTTGGGCAACCTGGTGTAGTGGAGGGTTTCCCTGCCTATGGCAGGGGGGTTGGAACTAGATGATCTTTAAGGTCCCTTCCAACCCTAACCATTCCATGATTCTATGATGTGGACGTAGAATTACTAGCAGTGGAATTATTCTGGAAGAATATCTTGCTGCTGTTATTTCCTCCACAGGGTTTTTGTCAGTTAGTCTCCACTTTGCTATCTGTTTCCTCCAAAGGGAATTACTTGGATCCAGCAGCTTGAGACAGTTAACCGTATGAAACAAACTGCAGTGTAGGCAACTGAATTAAATTGAGTCTGTATCTCCACCAGCGTTCCTGCTGGACAAGAGATGGCACATGCTGTGGCCAGTCTGGAGCCACTTGTTTCAGATTTGTTTGTCAGGCTCAGGCTATACATACTAGCGAGGTTTTTCCAGCATTTGTTTCTGTTGGGAGCTAATTTTAGGGTGGTGTTTTTTTTTTTTTTCTGTGTTCAATTGCTGATTTTCATTAAACTTTTAAGAATGTAGAAGATATGAGAAAACTACTTGTGAATTAAGGTGATGTTGACCCACACACTCAAAAGCTTGATTGACTGAGTACAAGCTTTGAAAAATACACATTATTGCTCTGGTGGATCTTGGCAGCCTTGGGGTGAAGGTGAGGAAATACAGGTAAGGTTTAGCGCCTGGTTGGGTTGTTTTTTCTGAGGAGGGGGGATCCTACTGGCAGAAAAAGGTCTAAAAATTTGAATGCTAAAAGCAGTAAAAAAGCAACCTGACTATTTTGGTTGCTACAAACCAATTTTAAGAGGGTTGGGGCAATCAGTTCCACACTTTTTTGGGACTTGTAGTGTGGTTCTGTAGCTTCTCAAGCTGTTAAAATCCTTCATGATTCTGCCTGTGGCTGCATTTCACTTAAAATACTGTTTTATTAAGATATTTACCTTTCACTTGTCATAGTCATGGCAAATCATTCATACTTCTGATTTGTGTAGTTCTTGAAATACCATTAACTTTTTAACTAGGAAGTCACCACTTGCTTTGAAACCAGCAATTAAAATGTCTGTAAAATGTCGTGAATTGGAGCAGCTTTTGGTGCTGGGCAGACTGTAAAAGCACAGAAGTTGAAACCTTTCTCATAGTGTTCTTAGCTTTTTGAAGCATGATTACACAATTCCAGGAAATTAAATAAGGCATTTCACACTGAAAATAGTAAGGTTTAAATAGTGGAAAACACAGAGGAGGGGAAATAAGATGAGGAAGAAAAGTTGGGAGGGAAAAGGAACACACGCAGAAAAGAAGATAGTGTCCTACTCTACTATTTCAGAGAAGATTCTGACCCTGGTCAACCTAATAGGAATTATTAACATATCTAAGCCCTAAGTTCTGTAGGCATAGGGCATGACCTTACTAAGTAATTCTGGAAATTCTTATGTTTCCCCCCTTGGTTTTTCCATCAGACTGTAAAACTTTCAGTTTTGAGTTTCACCAAAGTTTCTGTTTGATCCAGTATCTTGTCTGACAAGAGCATAAGCTTAGGGCATGTGTCCATGCCTGGGAATTCTTACCCAGCTGCCGATAGGTGATTGGAGCTGATGGGCTTGTTGTCCATTGTATCCTCAGCTGCAACACAGTTTTGTGGAAATGGATGAAAACTTTGTGTGTAAAAGCTATTACTTTCTGCTGTTTGAAATTGCGATGTTTGATATGAATATAAGTTGATTATTGCCATATTATGCTCAAAATGCAAGGTGTTAGGGTTTCTTGTTCATCACTTAATAATTCATTTATCTTCTAGTAACACCTGAGACCTACTCAGGGCTCAAGATCCCGTTGCTAGTTGTCAAACACGCAGAGAGGAAAAGCTCTTGATATACGGTTTGATCCTACAGTTGTCCTGTGACTTATCTGAATTGCATCTCGAGGTGCTGTTTGTTCTTGCAACACACTGTGTGTCAGCGTCATGGCTGTTACAAAACAGACCAGAAATTTAAATTAGGAAATTTAGAATCTGTACTGCTGATGCTGTGTATGTTTACCTCACTTTTCAGCTGGTGTTACAACTGTTGTAACAAAATCAGGAGAACTCGACTTTACGGCTTGAAGGTTTGTTAAAAGCTTCATTGCAGAATAAAAAAGGACTGAAAAGGACTGGGAAAGGTCATCTTGCCCAATCTTTTGTCTCCAGGTATCATCACCTAAGCCTGAATAGCAGGTGTTGGAGCTGCTAAGAGCTTTCGGCAAGAGACACGTTATAAAAGTAGTCTCTAGTCTGTTGCTGTAAATGCACGGAGTTTACAAGAAAGAATTATTTTTTTTCAGTAATTCTGTGTCAAATACTTTTGCTAACCCTTAGAAGGCTTTTAGTATGCACGTAGATGTTCTTAACACCTCGAGCATTCAGTAAGACTTTTAATGATTTGTTTAGTAATTGATCTGTAGCTTTGGGATCGTTTAGACTTTTGTGAGAGCTGACAGATGAGTAGAATGTATTCAGTTGCTTAGTTTAATCGTTCCTATCTGAATTTCGTAGGTGAAGAGAAGCATGAAAGAATGGAGCTAGTTAGAGAACCTATTCCAGAGAATTAGTCCCCTTAGCAGAAAACTGGAGAAAGCTTTAATTAACCTATTAATTCAATACTTAAGTTTGCTGAGCAGTAGCATTCATTACCTTTCATATTTGTTTGCAGTTGCTATATGGACCTCGTATTTCCATATGTTTCCGTGTTAGCCAATAGATTTAGTTTCTCAGGTTGTTTCCCTTGGTCCTGAAGCTTTTCCTAGTGTGTTTACACTGTGCAGCTAGCACGGTTACACTGTGTTGGAAGTGAGTGTTGAACTTGAGAAACGACCATCAGTGCCACAAAGATTCTATATGGTGAGTCTCCGAGGTTCTGAAAGGATCGCTGGGACCTGCCTTTCCTTAGGGCTCTCTGCTGCGGCAGCTCTGCTCTGTGTTTATCCATCAAAAATAAACTTTCTTTTTCATCAGAAAACTGTTTCTTGCTGTTTCTTTCCAAGTTGGGACTGCTCCTGTGTTGGGCTGATGTCTCTGTTCTGTTCTCTGAAGTAGTTGCTGGACTAGTAAAAAGACAATTTAGAGATGTAAACCTGGGAAGTCTTAACAAATAAGGAATTCCTTCTTAGTGAGGATCAGCGGAATAACAGGAGTTTGTCCCTCTTCTAGTCTGGTTTTAAATACTGAAATACTTTTTAGTCTCTGATGCTGTATCATAGAGATCAGTTTCCTTTGACAGGTAGTGAGAAGTACCCTTTAATGAGGGAAAACAGATTGAAAGTGCTTGCGCGTTGTCACAATTTATAGAAAATCGCTAGAGTCTTTTTGATGTAACTAGAAATCTACTTAACTTCAATGATATCTCTACCTCTGAAATCCTGGCACTTTTAACTGGAAATCAATTATATTGCTCATTTGCTTTAAAAAAAAACCAAATAAACCAAAGAACCGAGTTTAACCCTAAACCTTAAGAACTAAATTTAACCCTAAACCCTCAGTCTTTGCTGGGGTACAAGTTCCTATGAGGATTAGGAATTTAATATAATTTCAGGGAGAAAACCATGTGTTTGCGGTCTGAACTATGAAAATGGTAGGTGTTGGGTACTTCTGAACTAGAAACAAGTGCAGCTGTGGGGTTTTCCATTAAAACCAAATCTTATTGTATGTATTTACTCAACCTTGTAATAAAATGTTATGATACACTGCTTTTCCTGGTCATAGTAAAGGTGTTTATATAGTGAGATAAATTTGATTATAAATATTTATGTGGAAGCCATGTGTAATAGACATAATATTTCTGTTCAACAGGCGATCAGCTGTAAAGGTCAGCACAGTATCTCTTACACATTGTCCAGAAACCAGACTGTTGTGGTGGAGTATACTCACGATAAAGATACAGACATGTTTCAGGTAAGACTCTATGTGGTACTTGTACGGTGGTGGTTGTTGTTTTTTTTAAATATGGAACCACAGTTCTGCATTATATTTTTCTTGGCATTTTCTCTGATCTGTGGAATTTTTATGGTTGAACCCAGTTGCATTCGTATGGGAGCACTTTGATATTTTGCATTGTCTGCTCTTCTCAAACCAGTGCCAGCATCTGTTAATATCCTTACTGCTTTCAGTGTACTCTCCTTTTTCTGTAAGGACAGTGTAACGACTGTACTAACAGTACCAGAAAGAAATGTGTACTCTGTTTGGATTCAGGAATAAGCACAAGAGTACCCCACCCCCCACCCCCCCCTCCAGTTAATCAAGTAGCTGGAGTAAAAAGGAGGTGGATAGGAGTAGGATGTGGGATGGGGAAGGAGGAGAAGGAGGAAGGTAAAAGCTAAGGTAAGGAGGGCAATGGGGGAGCTGTGCACTAAAGGAGAGAAGCCAGTGATAGAATGATTAAAAACTGTACCTGAAGGGTGTGCAAATATATCAAATGGTGTAGGGGATTGTGCTGAGTTTCTCTAAGCCACCTTCTATCCAACATATTTTCACTCTCCTATGTATGCATTTGTTTTTTTTAATCTAATGTTCTGGTAACCTAAGTTATTTTCTTGTGTGATGTTTAGTTTTCTATTTAATAAGAGAGCAGAAATTCTGTACAAACTGAAACCTCAGGCTCAGAGGAAAACAAATACACATCACCTTTTCCAATCTAGACTAATCGGGTCTGTCTTGTCAGTGACCTCTGTAATTAGAGCATCTTATGAATTGTTATCCCTCCTCATTCAGTCTTTCACGCTCAGAAGGGTCAGCAGTTGAGTGTTGACAGAAGAGGAAATGGCTCTGTCAAGATGAAAATGTTTTTGCTTCATGTGACTTCTGTTTTTTGCTCTATATAAAATCTTTCCTAGTGTGACTTTGAAAGGATTAGGTCCAAATAGGGATTGATAAAAACCAGTCTTGCTCATGTGGAGCTGCATGAATAGGTAGTTAGAAAAGAATCACATAGCCAGAATGAATGAATCTCCAGATTTTTCTATGTTAACTAGTAAATGGAAAAGGTAACCCATTCTTTGGGGTTACTCCAAGATACTTGTTTATCTCTGCAAGATGCTTTTGTGCCTTGAGTAGCTTCAGTGAAACTTCTTCTGTATGTACATTTTAAAAAAACATTTTAGAAAGCTGGAATTATTTCACTTGTGTGCACTAAAAAAACGAATAAACAAGTTGCAGAACAGCTGCTTTTCTGGTTGTGTTGTATAGACAGCTCTCTTCTTGATTGCAGAATATCCTAGTGGGATATCTACTATTTACTTAGATATATACTATTTACTTATTTACCATTCAATGATACTTGGGGTTGGGGGGGGGGGGCTGTTGAAGAATTAGGTAGGTTGAGATGCTTACTTGTCACTAATGGAATCTGGCAGCACTTCACAAACGGCATCTCAGCTGACCCTTGTCTAGGGCAGTAGGTTATGAGAGCTAATTAAGGATGCTTTGGACCTAAAACAGGGGTTTGGCTCAGCGAGAAATGAGTTGGTTAAGCATAGCGTAGCCCAGCTAACAACCTGTCTTCCCTTGCTTCCCTTTGAGATCCACTAATGCTCAGTAGAGGCGGAGATTGCACAGGGTAGCGCACCCAGACAGCTTGGACTGCACTGCCTGACCCAGAGACCTGCTGCACTCCATGGCTGACAGGAGTGCACGTTTCTCACTGCCACTTCACAAGCATAGGTTGTGCTTTCTCCTCTTGGGTGCCTGGTGAAACAGGTTGCCCAGAGAAGTTGTGGATGCCCCATCCCTGGAAGTGTTCAAGGCCAGGTTGGATGAGGCTTTGAGCAACCTGGTGTAGTGGAAGGTGTCCCTGCCCATGGCAGGGGTGTTGGAACTAGATGATCTTTGAGGTCCCTTCCACCCCTAACCGTTCTATGATTCTATGAAATGTCACAAAAGCTCGAATTTTGGGCCCTGTACTAATTCACCAGGCAATTATCTGCCATGCATTTATGGCAGATAATTATGCACCAGGCAATTATCTGCCAACCAGTTATGTGACTGGTTTGACTTTTGACAGGTCAAACTATACCATCTTAGTAACAACAAAACCTTTTGAGCTGATTTTTGTGTTGGTAGAGTGCCTCGTTCCTTCTGGTGTCCCCTCAAATGGCCAACGTGTCAGGGTTAAGGCTTCTGTATTGTTAAAATTCCTCTTTTCAGGGCAGTCTGTTTCTTCTGTCTTGATGTGTAGGCTGTCATGCTGTGACTTGATCTCAGCTTCACCTCAAGCGCTGTGTCCAGGTTCATATTTCCGTTCTCTGTAGCTGTTTTCTGAGAATTGCACTGCAAGCATTGGCCCAGAGGGGCTGACAGCTGTGAGAATGGGAAAAGGAATGGTCTGTTGGACTGTGGCAAGATTTTGCTGCTAAAGCAATGCCACATAGCAGCTGAAGATGTTTCGGTTATTTAAATAAGCCATTAGGCTTTAATTATTCTCAGTAATCTTATTGTGGGCAGTCAGAGAAAAGTTACTTGAGGGCTGTTTTGTGCTGCATGATGGCAAATTCTATGTTGTCTTTGTTGATCCACGGAGTAAAACCCTACTACCTGATCAAGCATCACATGGATAGGCAGTCCTTGGAGTTGCTGTTTTATTTTCAAGTGTGTTTTCCTGGCTTTTGGAGAACACTGGCAAAGATGTGGAAGCTGAAAAGGGAAGGATAATGCTTGGACCACAGGATTATCTTAAGGCTTGAGACCCCTCCTTGGCTGCTGACAACAACATGTATTAAATTTAATTCTACAGTGCAGTTTTTATACAAATGCTACTCTGTAGCTTTGTCTTAGTGACATCCAGATAAAATTTCTTCATGTAATAATAAAAAGAATGTACTAATATGTGCCATTAGCATCTCCCTGGCGTCTCCCAGAGTCTATGTGCTACAGTATCTATATGCTGCTAAAAATGAAGATTTTCTTCATTAGTAGCCGTTCTGTTGACGATGTGCATCATCAGTTGGAGTAGAACCTGTTCCTTCACGGTTTGATTAGACAAGAATGGGATGATTATACCTCTTAGTACCACTACAAGGAACCAAAATGTATAGCCAGTACCTTAAATAACTACACGTTTATACAAGAAGCAAGTATCTTCAATATGAAGAATTGATTTTTTTTTTTTTTCCTGAAGAACAGCCCTTCAGAAGATGCATGGTCCAATTCTCCCTATGATCAGAGTGAAATTCTGTTGAAGCCCAAGAATCTGCAGCTGTTAAATATCTGTAGGCAGGTTGCCTGGCTTTGCCTTGTCTCAGGAGCGAGGGGTTTTTAATAGCACTTCTTTGATCGACGGTAGACACTAGCAAATTGATTGACTGCCTGGCTTTTACACAGCTTGTCTACACTACCGGTTATTGCTGAAACAGAAGCTGTCTCATGCGTCACTTGAAAGATTTATGGTTTGTTATTGGAAGTAACTTAATGAAATGATATCGAATGTGACACGGTTAACAAGAAGAGTCCCAAAATATAGCCTAAAATTACTAAAAAGAAAGTCTTCGGTGCTATAGAGAAAAATGGAAGCAAAATGAGTCACAAAGTCTGTAAAGAGTAGCTTTGAATTAGTGGAACTAGGTCTGTAGTGACTGTAGTCTGACTGCGACATCAGATGAGTTAAAATTTTTCGTGGGTAAATGTTGATAGCATGAAGTTCTTCACTTGTTCCTGAGGGGCTTTCTTTTTCTGGTGATCTCAAACCCACTATTTTGAATTGATGTGGAGCATGAGGAAATTGCCATGTTTTGAAGGCCACTTATTAAAATAATTTCTAGTGTTGAAATGTAGCACAGTACATGAGACTGATCCTCTTGAAGGCTTTTTAAGAGAAAAAAAAACAAAAGAAAAGCAAATACTTAAAATATTTGATGTTGTATAGACATACTTGTGACATAAATAAGATAAAGTAATTGTTGTTTAAAATATAACACATCATTTCAGAGATTTTAAAAACTACATAAAAGCTTAGTGTATATATTTTAATGCTTATATCCAGACATACTTGGATTTCATGTTGATTGATAGGATGTAAGGAAGACTGGGAGTAAACGCTTGCATGTTTTGTTATCCTTTAAGGGAAAATAAGGCAGTTTTTTCTCTAATTTCATCTTAAAGCTTTGAGTCATCTATTTGAGAGACTGCAACAGGCAGAAACTCGTTACGAACAAACTTATTTCATTTTCAATATTGATTATCCTTTAAGAGACTTTGCATACAGATAGACAATAGTTAAAAGCTATGGATAAGCTTCCTGCTGCTGCTTCGTGCTGACTGTTAGCAGGACTTGAATTGGGTGGGAAATAGAAGCCTGTTAGAAATAATACTGTAAAAGGAAGAAGAAAATAGCTTTGTAAGTTTTAGCTTCAACTTGTCAAGTTATATAAATCAGAAATGTCCCATACCGAATAGTTTCTGAACTCTGTCTCTTGGGTATTCTAGCAGTCACTTTACTTTCTGTGAAAAAGGGAAGTGCAAACTTGTAGGCCTTTTTTAGTATTTCCTGGGTGCTGCTTTGGTGGCAAGCTCATCATTCTTTATACTCGGTCGGGACCCATGATGTGGAGAAAGTAACTGGATGCGTCACCTAAGATAGGAATTTTGGCCTGTGTTTGAGTTCAACACTGCAAAGTAGAACTGCAAGCAGAAGAGGATGGGAGAGATCCCTGTACTGTTGCTTCAGTTGTGACAAGGGTTAAGTAATAATATCACTTTCCTTGACTCTGAAATAATGTTTGTTTACTATTTAAGCAAGCACAGCAAATTCAGTTTGCAGAGATGTTTGTTAATGATGGAACCATCCATGTGTTGCCACAGCTGGCTTTGAAGAGCAAGCAGCTAAGCAGAACGTAACTTCTAGGGGGACAATGAGATCACAGAATGGTTTGGGTTGGAAGGGACCTTTAAAGGTCATCTAGTCCACCCCCCTGCAGTGAGCAGGGACATCTTCAACTAGATCAAGTTTCTCCGATCCCTGTCCAACCTGACCTTGAATGTTTCCAGGGATGGGGCATCTACCACCTCTCTGGGCAACCTGTGCCAGTGTCTCACCACCCTTATAAAAAAAAAAATTACAAAATTTCTTCCTTGTATGTAGTCTAAATCTAAACTCTTTTAGTTTAAAACCATTACCCTTTGTTTAGTGAGGACGTTATTTTATATAAATGTAGATTTCTGATATTGAAGGTAGTTTCATGTGAAGAATGAATGAAATTCTTAATTTTCTTCTCTTTGATCACAAGGTGTTTATAAAATTAATATTCTGTTCCACTTCTTGTTCGTCAGCTCCACTTCCTCAGTTATACTCAAAGTTGGTGTAACACTAATTTGCCTAATTTTCTACTCATTTGTAGAAGTATTGATAAAGTCTCGCTGTATGTTTGATTGGGCAGAGGGATCTGCCTGCCGTTTTGTAATGAAGTTTTCTGTTCCAGATGCCTAGATGTTTCCACTTTTAGAATTAAAGTTGATAGATGTCAAGATAAAAAATGTTCTTGCTTCCTGATCAGCTGTGTTTTTTTTTTGAAGAAAGTTTTTTTTTTTCTTAGTCATGCATGCATGTGATTAGGAATAAATTTAATCATATTTTGAGTTTTACCTGAAAACTCTTTTGTTCTGGAACTACACATTCTTAAAACATGAAGGTGGGTAGCTTTTTGTTATCACGTATCAAAATAACCAAGTTCTAGGTCCTTTATTTTCATGGCAAATTAACTTGGAAGTAGAAATGTGAATAAAACTCGTCATTTCCTAATTGACAGAATATAGTGGTAAGTAATTTGCTGTGGTTGGATTATGAACTATCAAGGTGATAATACTTTCATGCTGTTGACAATACTCTAGCAAACAATTCATTGCAGCTGTGTTGGGCAAGCAGGTGCATCAGTTGTAAGTGAAAATTTGTCTTGCTGTGTCAGTGATGTATTTCTGCTTAGAATCATAGAATGGTTTGGGTTGGAAGGGACCTCAAAGATCATCTAGTTCCAACCCCCCTGCCATGGGCAGGGACACCCTCCACTACACCAGGTTGCCCAAAGCCTCATCCAACCTGGCCTTGAACTCTTCCAGGGATGGGGCAGCCACAACTTCTCTGGGCAACCTGTTCCAGTGCCTCACCACCATCTGACACCCTCTTAGGACAAATGTGACACCGCCCTTAGGACACCAGGACACCACCCTCTTAGGACAAATGTGAAAATACAGATTGGACTCTGGCTGGATCTTGCCATCCAAAAATTCAGTAGACAGTAGTTTACTGATGCTGTCAGCATTAACTTGGCAAAATTCTGTTCTTAATTCTTGATGTTCCTATGGCGCTCTCATTATACCATGATCTTAATTTTCTTGTAGGTCGGGAGGTCAACAGAAAGTCCCATCGACTTTGTAGTAACAGATACTATTTCTGGAAGTCAAAACAACGATGAAACCCAGATTACCCAAAGCACCATATCCCGTTTTGCGTGCAGGATTGTTTGTGACAGGAGCCCACCATATACAGCAAGGATTTTTGCAGCTGGATTTGACTCGTCTAAAAATATATTTCTTGGTGTAAGTATTACTAATAATTAACGTTATGTATGAGAAAACTCTGGTTTTCATTCTCTGTTATTGTCAAGCCCCAAAATTCCCTTTTACTAGTTGATAACTTATACTGTCGTTAGACTTTTATTGCTCCAGTATACCAGCTGCAGTGTTAAGTGGAAACTGCGGGTTTATGTGCCTGATTTATTACCAGCATGGACTCATGGTCATAATTGTCTTTAACAATGCAGCTCTACTTTAGTAACTGTTAGTGGGTTTTCTTTAGGTTTGATATATTCTTGGTACTCGTCGTGAATAAGTTGCTGCTGCAGTTCTGAGCACTACACACCAAGGAGCTCAGCACCTGCCTTATGGAAAAGGATGTGCCCGTTGCAATGGTATTCCATTATGGTGGTTGGGAGTATGTATGCTGCTGACCTCTGAGGCCTCAACTCTTACCTGACCTGCACTCAACTGAGTTAAAAATAATAATATTTAAGATAGAATAGTAATTGAAGATGCATAAGCAAAAGATGTTACCACTCTGGCACAAAGTATTCTTAAAAATGTTTTGGGTTTTTTTTTGTAAATCTACGTTTAAGCACTGCCAGCAGGTGAGGAAATGTGGTTTAGACACAGTAAAGCTTGAGTGTGTGAAACTTTAGTCCTTAAACTTTTAGACAAACTCTTTCTTTCTTGGGGTGGTTGTCACATGCAGGAAAAAGCAGCAAAATGGAAAAATCCTGATGGCCACATGGATGGATTGACAACGAATGGGGTGCTGGTCATGCATCCAAAAGGAGGGTTCACCGAGGAGTCCAAACCCGGCGTTTGGCGGGAGATCTCGGTCTGCGGTGATGTGTACACTCTCCGGGAAACCAGATCCGCTCAGCAAAGGGGGAAACTGGTAAGTTGAAAGTAACTGGTAATTAAAACAAGGGATACTTCTTTCCCTGGCGTGGAAGGGATGCAGTTGTAGGGTGACTGCAGAGTAGTAGCCTTGTCCCTACATAGCAGGCACTGATATTTTCTAAGTAGCTGTGTCGTGCAGTAGATCCTGTACTGCTATTCTGTTTCTGCTTAGGCAGGAGCACACTCAAGTTTTCTGCTAATGTCACTTTTGCAACTGAAACAGCATAGAGTGTAAAAGCTAAATAAACTTTGCTCTTCAATCTCCATCTCTGAAATCTTCTCCTGGGACGCGGGGACATCTGGAAGTTAGTGTATAGGGAGCTGTCTTTTGCAGTGCTATCTTAAAGGAGGAGTCACTTGCATGCAAAATAAGTTTGGATAACACAGCTTCTGTTTGATTTACCTGCCACTAGGAAGATAAGAGAAGCCCTCCTAAGTATAGTCCTGGTTTATTCCGTGGAGCAGGATGGGCTTTGCCTTTACCAAAAGTGCAGGGTTTCAGCTGCCAGAGACCTGTGGCATATGTAACCAGGAGAGAGGTTCCTGTGAAAGAGTATGTCCACTTCTCTATAGAAGATGGAACAGAATTCCCATAGCGCTTTTGTTCTTTCCCCTTCCTAAGATCTGTGGGACCTAGGAAGGAGGATGCTATTGTCGCTTATCCTTCCCCCCTCCTCTGCCCTCTAAGGAGGGGAAAAAAAAAAACCACCATAAAATAAAACACCACCATATAGAAGTAGCCCAGCAAAATACAGAGACAACTGTGTTCCCAGTTGGATAGATAGCTTTCCTAGAAGTCCTCCTTGTCTCTGGGTAGGTTAGAATGCTCTTCTGCCTGCAGACCTGGAAAAGCCTTCATGGGTCACCCCTTCTGCTCTTTGTTAGGATTCAGGAGGAGAGAGGATGTTCAAGGGTGTTTTCACAGGAGCTGAAGGTGCTCCTTTTCTTTTGTAACTTTATCATCCAGCTGCTAAAGACTGAGACTGTGCCTGGCAGGAGGAATATCCTCTTCATGCTGGAGTTGCTGTTGTGCTACTGCCTTGATGGTGTTAGAGGTATCCCACACACTCACACTGACCTGATGTTCCACCTTTGCTGTTGGCTTTGCAGAAGACAGACTGTTTAAAGGAGTTGGAAAATGGAGTTTGAATATTTTGTTCTGCTTTCAGTAGACAGCCTGCAGTACATAAATTGTCACTTTAATGGTGGCAGGCAAACATCGCCTTGGGGACTGGGACAGATGCTGCTGCAGTGTGCCCTTTGTATGTGGTTAGCAAAACACCTTTTTAGTGCTGCTAGAGAAAGGCAATACTAACACAAATAAATTCCCTTCTCTGCATCCAAAATGACTTGAATTCTCATTTAAATAAAATTACATGGCACACTGGTATTGATGTGATCAGTATTCGTTGATTGGGTTCATAAAACCAAATGCACACTGTATAATGAACGTGGTGCATACGAGAAAGCTTTTTGCTTTGCTGTTTGTGAAGGAATTATCCAAAAAGTGCCTCAAATCAAAGCTTCTCTCATCTCTACTTGAACCACTGAATTTTTCTGCTGGAAGTACTTTACACTGGTGACCTTTGATCTGTAGTCGGTGTGGTACCATCTAGGTGTTTTGTGCAAGGATGATCCGCACTTAATCTGTGAATTTCAACTGGATTAAAATGTAAATGCCAAATCGGTTGTCATTCATAGTATTCTTAGGCAGACATGAGGATTTCGTGTGACCTACTTAATGTACAGGGTGTTTTTTTTGCCTTAGTGGTATTGTCTGTGTACTTTCTATGTATAAAGCCAGGCAGTAGGTCTGTTTTCCTTTTTAATTTCATAAAGAACCTTTTAAATAGATATTCATCAGTACTGAACTGGTAGCAGTTGCACAAGTTGCTTAGATGTTTGGGGCATTAAAACAAATTAAAGAATATTTCAGCAAAGTGCAACCTGCGTTGGGTGTAATCCCTTGAAAAGGTTTTAAGTAGATGCTTTTAGTCAGAGGAGAGAAGCCTTTAGGCAATGCACACTGGGGCCGTATTTGCATGGAAAACATCATTAAATAAAGGGCCTAACTAGTTAGGGTGGTTAATTGTTCAGAAGTTGAGCCTGTGTGGCTTTAGTTGCAGAACCTGTCACTTTGAGAAATTCAACTGGTAGTTCACTCTGCTGTAAGGATAATCTGTGCACGTAGCTAGGATTGCATTTGTCATTTATCCCTGATGTACCTGTGGAAGAGTTTTGCTGTTGATGAGGTACGCTGTGGGAGTTCGTGCTTCTACAAAATGCTTTGCACTTGCCACAAGCCAAAAAAAAAAAGGTGTCTGAGTAGCAGGACAGCTGATCTGTCCTGGGTAGCAGTTTTTAGTCCAAAAAAACATCTTTTGCTGCACGAGCAGCCTCTGCCAGTCTACGTGGGCAAAGAATTCCAGGAGAGCAATCTGCTAATACAGCCCTTAGGGAATGGCAAGTTTCCTTTTCAGTCTTGGTAGAATATTTTAGCAAATATTACCTTCAACAGGAGAGTCATACAGAGAATCAATACTTGAGAGAAAAAATAGGGTGCTCAGATGTACAGGGTATTTGTGAAGAAGTTAGTGATTACAAATGTAATACCTTTCCCAAAGGATTACAGGAAGGAGAACTGTGTATAATAATTAGTATTGCCGTAGCATGTAACAGTTGCAAATTTAGAACCTCCTGTACAAGCACAGAATAAGAGACGAATGCTCATTGTAATCTTAAGTGGAGGATAAGAGACAAGAGATGGGTTCAGACAAATGGGGGGCCACAAGGAAAGGGTAAGACAAAATTAGGCACCGTGCTAGGGGGAGTAATGATTTGGTGAGAAAGACAACTCGTTTACAGAACTCAGTTGACTGCAAAAGCTCTCAGGCTTAACTACTACTCCTTGTGTTCTACCACTAGGTGGAAAATGAGACCAACGTCCTACAAGATGGATCTCTCATTGACCTGTGTGGGGCCACCCTTCTGTGGAGAACAGCCGATGGACTGTTCCACACTCCAACTCAGAAACACATCGAAGCTCTGCGACAGGAGATAAACGCTGCCAGACCACAGTGTCCTGTTGGGTTAAACACGTTAGCATTTCCCAGCATCAACCGTAAAGACGTGGTGGAAGAGAAGCAGCCTTGGGCGTACCTCAGCTGTGGTCATGTTCACGGCTATCACAACTGGGGACATCGCAGCGACACGGAAGCCAACGAGCGGGAATGTCCTATGTGCAGAACCGTTGGCCCCTATGTGCCTCTCTGGCTTGGTTGTGAAGCAGGCTTTTATGTGGATGCTGGTCCTCCAACTCATGCTTTCACCCCCTGTGGACATGTGTGCTCTGAGAAATCTGCAAAATACTGGTCTCAAATCCCACTGCCTCATGGTACTCATGCATTTCACGCTGCCTGCCCTTTTTGTGCAACACAGCTGTCTGGGGAACACAACTGCATCAAGCTAATTTTTCAGGGTCCAATTGACTGATGTCACTGCAATGACCACAATAAATTTTCTTTAACTACTTACTGTGAAGATTTTGCCACTAACTCTAGATTTTACCTTTTTTTATAATGTTATTAATAGGGTGGTAGGGTGGGGAGGGGGAACTGACGAGGAAATTGCGAGGGACTGTGGTGGAATTGGGATACATTGATACCTGGAACTTGGCAGATATCGGTGGTGTTGCATGCTCAAAAGCAGCATATTCATGAAGTCTTCTTGGTCAAATTGTAGTATATTTGTAATCTTTTTATTAGCACCCTGGATCAGAAAAAGGTGTCTTAATGATTTTTTTAAGCTAAGATTTTTTTAATGGAAAGGTTTTTTCTTCTAAACTTTGACAAGCCTTTAAAACCTATTTTTCAAATCTAGAAGGAACATACAGAATGTATCTCTTTAATTTGCAATATAATTTAACTTGAATAGTTTCTCAAGGAGCTAATACAGAATGTGTGGACAACCATAGGTGAATGTTCACTAGGGATAATTGGATATGTAAGAGAAAAATTAGCTGCCTAAATTGTAGAGTATAAAAGCTATTAAAATTTCTATTATAGTATAACACAGCTGGCCAAAAAGGCATCAAGGATTACTTGAAACTGAGGAAATCCTGTTTGCATCGATTTCCTTTCAGTGTAATAGATCTCCACTGTTCGTTGTGTATGGTATATGGCTGGGTTTTTTTGTTTCTTTTTTTTTCCCCCTCGTTTAACCTGCATCTGGTAAAACTGCTTTACTTTTTTTACATACTTAGTTCTGGTTTTTAAGCCAGTGTTCTGTATATGTGTAGTCTGGCCTTTTTATTTCTGCTTAGCTTAGCTTGCCCTGCCTGCTCCTTGCATGCCCAGGACCACTGGATTAATTGAGATGTAGCAAGCATTTAAAAACTTCATTAATGAAGGGGTAGTGCTGCAGCAAAACAGGAGGTTTAGGTACAATCTATACAGAACTTATTTAAGTAGAGCTGAATTCAGGAAAGCACTTAGTTCGTGTTTAAATATAAGCCCACGGATGGGACGGTTTGGATTCTCAAGTGCTTCAATGGATTGTGGTTTTATGCTGTTATGTTTTGAAATAAAAAGCAATTAAAAATAAGTTATTTTTTAAGCTCACTTACTAGCCAAAATGCTGTAAGGAGAGCCTTGTTTCTAGTTCAGCTGAGGATTTTTGTTCAGTTTTCAACTTGCTGCCATCTGTCACCTCTTTTTTTTTTTTTCAGATTGAGATGTGTTTGTGTCTTTTTTTTTTTTCAAATGTTTGCAAATCAAACAACATTCAAATGTAATCAAATATATGCACCAGGGTGGCACATCTGAAGTGGATCACTTGAAATTCCTGACTTTTTCAGAGAGCTGATAAATGTTTACTATGGAAATAATTAAATCAGAATTTCATATGAGATGTACCCCGCCCATTGTTAGTTTCATTTCATACAGAATGATAAATCTTTGATTTGTGGGGTTTGTTCCTTTTTATTTTCTGTACTCTTGGTATCTGAGGTATCAATCTATCCAGGTTAAAAAAAAAAAAAAAAAATTGGGGGAAGATTATAACATCTCTAGATTAAATTGATCATTCAAGCTCAGTTCTGTTTAATCAACTATAGCTTTTTGCTATATTTGTGCCCTTTGTATAAAGATATAATTTATATGATTTTAATATATTCTGTATATATATACTTGAATTGGCCTGTTCATATTTTGGTTGTAAAATTGTTTTACAGTTAACCTTATAAACATTTTACATGTCTCTTGCCAACGGTGATGGGACGTACTTTGTCTGCTGCTGGTTTTAATATAATTTTGCTGTATAAATCATCAGCATTTTAATAATTTGAAAATAGCTTTACTTTTCTTTTTATGCTTTTGCTGTTAAAAAAAAAAAATCTGCATCATTTTCTTTAAAAATCCCAAACTGTACAGTTTTCACACTCAGTGATTGGAAATAGGATGAATCTTGTTAACCTAAAAGCATATGCTTCTTCCTAGTGCCTTTTCAATGAGATCCTCTTGTGGTTCTGTATTCCGACTCCTTACTCCCACAAGACATCCTTCTGGCTAATCTTCATCAAGAACGGCAGCCCAGACTTCCCAGACTGGGAAGAAACGCCTTGGGCCTTCGATTCCTTGTCGCGGTTTCTGTCCTGAACGTGAAGGTGCCTCTTCCTTGTCGACACTCCGTACAATTCCTCAGGTCCCATATGCATACTGCAGCGTTCTTTCTATTTAGCACATACCTCATCTGCGAGAGGCAGTCTCACCTCCAGCTCCTTCCTACTGGACTCTGTGAAACACTTCACTCCGTTTCTCACAAGAGATGCTATGGCAACACGCTTTCAGGAGATGTTCCTTGTGGAATGAAGGCCACGAGCCGTGTGTTAGTGCCGGTGGCCAGAGGTCTGGAGCTCTGTGTACAACAGGTCTGGGGTAGGAACTGTTTTGCTGAGCTGATGGGGACTTGCATGCGTAGTCTCCTTTGGAGCGTAAACGGATTGCAAGTGTGCAGGCTCCCAGGCACATCCCTTACCCAGCGGCTCTGCTTTCCTCCCTTTCCCACTGCTGCAGTTTAATTGCTGCTTCAGGGCTTCGTACAGCTTCTCCCTGGGCAAAGGGAATGTGCAGCATGAGAGGATCCTCGCTGGAAATACCAGCACACCATCCGCTTGTGGTGTATCCGGCTTGCATGGAGTGGAAAACTGGCTAATGGTTTGTATCCGAGGGAAGTGTCCTTTTGAAAAGACTGTTTTAAGCCAGATTTTTGTTTCTTTCACTGTCAGCAGTTCTGTATAACGCAGGAAATGCTGCAGGAAGGAAAACTCCCCTCTTACCTGGGAAACAAACTTCCACAGTTCCTTTGCATGAATCCAGGTACTTTTGCCGTTAATCAGTATTCAAATCTAGGGTGAGTCCTGCAGAGCTGGATTTACTGGGAAGGCAGAAGAGTTTGTAGTGTTATTTTTCTCAGACACCACTGCCACATGTGCTGCTCTGATCAGATGATGAACCATTTGGCTGCTTAACCCTTTTCTCCTTCCCTTGTCCCAGTAAACACATACCTTCACTGGTATGGTAACTCAACAGGAGAAAGTAGTTTCTGGCTAAGTAAGACTGGTTCTGTTTGCAGTGAGTGAAGTTGAGAACCACCCTCAAACTTCGTTTTGAAAGTTTAGTTCATGATTCCAGTGTTGTGATATTTCTTGCATACCATTTCAGGTGCTGTCCATGTATTCTGTAAGGATTTTTTTCACCTGTTACTGTTGATTGTATTTGAATGCTTCAAAAACAGCTTTGCATAACTTACAGCCAAAAGTATTTTTTGAGTCTGATCTTTAAAAAAAAAAAAAGTTTGGCATATCCATACATGCTGGAGCTGTAACGGTTTCCTTTTTCCTGGCAGCTTCTTGATAGAGTGCTGAAATCTAAATGGATGACTTGAGTGGTGGCGCAGCTCTTATTTTGAGTTGTGATCCAAGTTGTACAAAACAGAGTTAGCATGATACTGCGTTTTAATCATGAGTTTTTTCAAGAGTGATCACTTTGCACCTCAGGGTACAGTAATAGTACTGTACTAGCAGAGTAATTGAGGATTTTTTTTTTTTGAGGGGTGAATGGGGCTCAGAAGAGACCAAAGCCATTGTCGGGCTGGTTTCAGTAAGGACAGACCCACCTCGAAGCAAAGGCACGCCAGGAACTCATCAGAAATGTGATTGTAGCTGCTTCCACTTTCAGACCTGGTTCATGCTCTAAAAAGGATCCTTCCCAGTTTGTTAGGAAGCTCCAGGATGAAACAGAAAGGCCGTGATCTTCCCAATGAAACACTGGTTTTTCAATTCCTGGAATTTGAGGGTTCTGCTTCAGAGCCTGACTGGGGAGCAGAGCTACTGCGTGTATCGTAGTGAGAAACTGCAATGGTCTCCAAATAGAACTGGTTAATTTGTTAACTCCACGTACTGCCCAAAAGAAGCTGTGGTTTTCAACTGGTAACTCTGCCTTTAGTGCTGTTGCAGCAGGTGGTCACTTTGCTCGCTGTTTTATCATTCTTCTGGAAGTGGAAGCTTCTCCAAGACTTGTCATGCCTCTGTTCCTCCAGCTCATGGTCTTGACACTTTGCTAGGGTCAGAGAACTGTTGGTGGTGATCTGGCCGCTGATGGAGGCGCTTAAATGCTTTTTAGTGTGGTGGGAAAAACTGACCTGGCTTGACTCGGGCTCTTGCTTAAAGTTCAGCTGCACATAATGCTTTGGAAACGAACTGTGCTTGTCTCTTCTTTGTGAAGGAACGTTCTGCCATGGGTGGTTAAGTCTTGTTTTCCCTGAGACTGTTGTTAACGTGCTGCATTGGATGCCAAGTGAAAGCTCCCGTGGAATCGACAGGTAGAGCTGTTGATGGGAGCAGGTTGGAACAGGAGTCTGTTAGGGGCTTGAAAATAGGTGCGGACAGCCCAGGTGTTCTGCAGTACTCTGGCCGAGGATGATTATTCCTCCTCCTCTTCCTCCTCCTCCTTGTTTGCTCAGTTTTCAGCCTCTTGAGAGTTCTTGGCTCCTCTTGTTTTCCATTTATCCATGTAGTTGCAAGTAAACAAGTAAATACAGCTTGGAAAGAAAACAAGGAAAAGAATTAAAAATAAACCTTCAGGCTTGCTTATCTCTTTAAGGACGATATAAATTGGAGCTGCAAATGTCACAGATTTTCTCATAAGCGCTCTTCACAGGTCTTCACGCTTGGTGTTGTGAACTAAAAGGAAAAACTTAGAAGGGAAGGGTGATTTTTTAGGGAGGGCGGGGGGTGGAGAGGGGACAGTTTTGAGGATGAAGTCGCAGTGGTTCTGCAGGCCCTGCGCAAACTGTGTCCCGCTGACTGCAGCAGACGCTTTGGTCTTGGAAGAACAGCAGAGTCAGCCTCAGCAGGCAGCAAAGATAGAGCTCGACTTTCTGCGGTCGTCAGTTTTCGTTTATTGGCAGCGGAACAAAAACGTAAGTTCTTGGACAACCAAACTACGGATGAAACTGGTGGCTGTCAAGATTTCCTTTTAACAGGGCATGTTTGTACTTGCCTGGTGGGCAAGCCAGTCTTCAAGTCACCTGGAAGTCTGTTCTGTTTGTGTCACGGTGATTAGGGATGGGTATCGCTTTCCTCTCGGATTAAATACATGATGGAGAGCCCCTGGAAGGCTCCTTCAGGTGACACAACTGTAGGAAAAGGCTCGTTCACACGGCGAGCCCTGTATGATGGAGAAGCAATGTTTACCTTTAAACAGTGTTAGCAGCTGTTAAAACTTCTGGGCATATTTGTAAAATTGGTCTTTTATACACCGTGTGAAATGGACCGAAATAATTTCTTTGCTGTGGTACCTGTGGAAGTACAAGCCATTTTACAGGGGGGAAAAAAAAATTAAAAAAAAAAAAAAAATTAAAATATTATCTCAGCATTGTCACTGACTCCAGTTTTTTCCCCAGCTGGTTGGTTGTCAGAGTTTCACTTTGATTCACAAAAACATATGAACAGCTTCAAAAATCAACAGTTTTTCTTACTCTTTTATCCCCTTTCTTCTACTCCTCAACAAACAAAAACCTGAGCCTTTGAGGGTCCTTCAAGTATTCGAGGTAGTGGAGTGTATTCAGGTGTGTGTGCCCTGAAATTTCAGTTAATTCATTTCCCTGATTTTTAAATTGAACTGTTTGTTTTCGATGCCAGCTGCCTTCTTGCGGTGTTAACATAATTGCTAAATAAAAGCAATTTCCAGGAATAATATGCTTTGTGACTCTTAAAATTAATTT